CTGCTTTTGAGAGTGGTATAGCTGCCATGATATATGTAGTGTGAGAGAAAGCAGGTAAAAGCAGGAGAACTGAGGATTCCAGCAGGAGGAATGGTTAGGAGGTTAACCAAAGGGCTAGTTCTTGCTTCTCAAGCTTATTGATTTTTATTTTGTTTTTTAAAAAATAACATTTCCAGATCTGAGAAGCTGACCTTGGCATCAGCCTCACCATGATGAGCAAAGTTACCACTATGCTGTTTTGATGTGCTGCTAGCAAAGACTCAGGGTAGCGTAACCCTTTGTTAGGAGCATTTCACAACGGCACCTGAGTCACAAAAGGTCTTTCTAATAGCTAGCAAATGCCTGAGGACAACGGTGTATGGACACCCTTTTCTCACCTTCTCTCTCTGTCTCCCCTCTGCAGATGCCAAAGAGCACAGCACTGTGTCTGGGTGGCTTTTTCACAAATTTTCCTTCCATCCAGTGCCACCCAAAATAGCTAGGAAACTGGGCAAGGCTGATCTGTGCTTTTAGAATTGCTCAAAGGAGCCTGCTAAGGTGGCCTACAAGCCAGACTTTCATATATTAGGAATAAATTTAGATATATTAAGTACAACAAAAGTTTTTTTTATTAAATAACCCACAAGAAAAATCCTTTAAAAGAACCTATGAAGCTCTAACCTTGCAGAGACAAAATGACAGCTAAATCCATGGTCACTGAAGCCAAGAGACGACTAGGATCAGTTAAGAATACAGATTCTTCTCCACACAAAAGATATATTTCTTGGAAACATTAGTTAATAGATGGTAAAGAACACGTGCTTAATGAAAACAAAGTAGTTTGAGGATTTGACATATGAGCATGTGCACCACCCTGAACAGCCAAGGGTATCCCTCATCCTGGTATCACGTCAAACTGGTTCTTTCTGATGGCACTTGGTACTTACACACTTCTCAGCCCTCCACGACTGAGTGAGCAGCACAATCCATAGCCACGAAAGAACCACGTAGCCCTTGTAACCAAGGTTAGCTCCCTAGATCACAGCACGTAACTTTTCCCCAGTAAATTATAGCTGCATAATAATTTTTCACAAAGCTTGATTGCTCTTCACTTGGAAAGGAAACTCCAGAAATTGGAAGAGTGAAGGCTACACACAAGATGAAAGCCTGAAAACAATCTGTTTTCACATTAAAACTGCTTCAGCCAAATCACCACGGCCAAAATCATCCATGAAAGCCATTTTCCATTCCTGGTCAGCCTGTCCATGTCTAGCAGCCCATCTTTTAACCATAATATGATGTATTTTAGATGGTATTTTTAGCAATTTTTACGTAGAAGGCTTCTTAAAGCTTCCAATATTTGGTAGCTAGTATCAGAAAAATAAGCCAGTATCCACAGAAAAATTGTCAAAGTGCAATCTAAAAATAAAAAAATATATATCATTGGTATTTATCAAGGATTTACCATCCCTATAATTTTACTTCAAAAAGTGAAGGCCCAGCACAAGCAGCTGGGATCCTTGTAGGTTTCCAGAGTTCAGATAAAAGGACAATATTAAAGAAAAAACAGCTCCTAAGACCACAAATATCATCTTGATGCTTTTCTCCAACTTCAGAGATAACAGAAGGCATTTTTCTCTCCAGAATTCACTTTAACTATGGCAAAACTATCAGACAGCTCTCAGGGGTCAGCAAAAGAGCCAAACACTTTTCTCACAAAGGTATTTTCAGACTATTTCAACAGAAAAGGATTCATACATATATGCAAGTGTTTTGCTGAACAGTACACTGCTAGAGAATTACATTTGAAAACCAACACATTTACAAAATCTGAAAAGCTTCTTTACCTTCTGAAACCATCAGTTTCAATCAGGGAATGGGATAACAAATACTTGTTCAACAAAATGACCAGAAAAGGGTTAATATATATCCAAAACGGGAGCAGAGCTTCACGCATAGACACTAGAGATACAAATGTACCACAAAGTTTCATAAAGATCAATTCTCAGCTAAGAGACTGTGCACTTAATATTTACAATATAAAATCATTTTCCAACTGTAAAGAATCTTCACTGCACTGCAGTATTTTCAGAAACATTGTATGGACTGTAACTTCATTAAGGACTCTTTTTAGACCATGTTTTAACACATGGATTTAAAACTGACTTGGCAGGCTTGGGACTAATATTTATTACTTAACCTAAATAGTTTTAAGTTCTATTCTTTTAAGAAGTTCTGCATTGGATTTAATTGCTAGAAACATGACAAACACAGGAATGATTGAATGCTGGGCTACCCAGAGATAAAAGTTTGAGTAATAAGAATGGTTTATTGCTATGATTTGCTTTGAGATATAAATCTATCAAGTTCCCAGTCCCAAGCATACAGTAAGAAGGAACAGTGGTCTCCAAATAGCCAATATAGGACTGTCTCAACTAAGTCTTTAAAGCTAAACCAGGATATTTATTTCCAATGCTCTAACTAGTAGTCTAATCAGTAAAGCCCTTAAACTTGCAATAATATTTCACTGATGTGTACCAGAGCGTTACAAGTTATAAAATTTCCAATTTAATTTTACTGCATCCCTCAAGCTGTAGTAATTAGAAGACAAACTCACAGGGAAGCTGTTTATAGCTTCAGGGGTGAGAATTTTGAACCTGTCCTGCAGGTCACACATGTCCTCAGGGTTCCCAGATCTAACAGCTGCCTGCAGACCCAGGAGTTTATTGTAATACTGCAGTAACTCCTCACTCAGATGAAGGGGGCAGATGTAGATGACGTCCACGTTGGCATCTAAAACAAAAGGGGCACAATGTTCATTACTGGCAGAAAGGTAGAACAGCATTCAGAACAGCAATCCGATCATTCCTGATCATTTGCTAATGCACAGCTTCCCTAAAAGAACACTGGAAATAAAAATGACATCTCTAATTCCCAAATGTTAGTGGTTTAGCTGCTTTTTCTGTGCTTCAGCATTTCTCTGAAGACAGGTCAGCAACCCAAAGAAATAGCTAGTTTTCAGAATTCAATTTGCAGAACACATTGGGGGCAGAATTTTGAAAGTGTTGCAGGGGTGTGGGGGGGGGATTTATACACGTGACTCACATTAACATCAACGGGAATTGCGCTTTAAAAATATATCCCATTAACTTCAGTAAATTATAAAACTGAGCTATTAAGTTTAGAAAGCTGATGAAATTGCAATTTCATATGCTGCCTTGGATTTTACCATGGCCTGTTCCTATTCTTGTCCTGTCCACATAAAAGCTCACGGTAGGATACCATTAATAACTATTGCTGAGCGTGAGAGTGTGCAGATTAGCTAGTTAAATACCACAGTGTGAAAAAATCTGCTTTTCTGCATGGAAAACAACTTGGGTTGAAAGACAGTGTATACACAAACATTTAAGAGGTGAGAAAGTGAAAGTCTTTCATATATGCCATTTTGGAAAAAAAAAAATTAACTACTCTGCTCTTCTAAAAATATTAATGTTAATAGAGGAGCTAATGAATTAATGGGCCTTGCAACATCAAGAGAATATGCTGCC